ATGGGAGAAGCAGATGATGATCTACATCAAGCCCACTCGAGATGTGCAGGTGCTGGCAGACTTCAAGCCCCGTGGTCTCAAGATCCCTGTGGCCACGCCCAAGGTGGAGATCAAGCCAGTAGGTTGGCCACAAAGCCAGGGGGCAATCCAGATTGCCACGTATGGGCCCATGGCAGGGGAGTCGGTAGAGGGTTATGTTGTCTACATCTTGCCATACTTTGCCTTGCCGAAAGATGGACTTCTAGGAGGCTCTGTAAACCCTGCTTGGATCATGAAGACCTCCTCGAACATGGATGATTGCAACATGGAGGTTGTAGGGTCTACTGCCAAGAAAGAATGGTGGACGCAATCTTTGAATCCTCACGCCTGCAAAGTTGCGCACCTTCCAGTGCTAAAGAATTCCAGGGCCTTGAAAGCGGGGGAATCCCTTGTCTTGTTTCGCCCAGAATCGGCCAAGACAGAGGAAGTGGAACAGCTGCAGCCTCTTGCCAAGAGGCGCAAGTCCTGATTGGTGCATGGCCTATATAGGACGACTAGGACTGCTAGGACATATAGTCTTTAGCTGCATATATAGAGGCATCACTTGAAGATCCTCGTGAGGGCGTGTGGTTCAAAATTGATTGGCATCTGGTGCGCAGCATGATGTTTGGATTTGCGATGCCCATGCAAGCAGCCCTATACATGTGCAGAATCCATTGATGACAACTTGTTTGCACGGTTGCTTTGCTGAAGATTTTGGCCTCTGTAGTTGAGGTTTTGTGTTAGCCTTGCAGGGCAAGAGCTCGCAGGCTGGAGCTTAGCAGGGCCCCTATAGCTCGCAGCTCCAATGAATGATGCCGCTGATGATGACCAACCTCTCCTAGCGCTGGGAGAAGATGGAGCAGAAGATGAGGAAGAGATCCGGATTTACGAGGCCACCTGCATTCAGTACGGGAAATCCACATGGATGCCATCTGTGCAGCTGATCTCGGGTGTGAAGTTCATCCGTGTTTCGAAATGGGATCGTCACCTGACGACCTTTTGCACGCGGCGCCCTTTGAATCTTTATAGCTCTGGTTCCCGACCCCTAAATACCATTAATGTTGTTTGGTTTGATGAAGTGAAGAGCTTAAGGGTCCAGGCGTGCAACCAGGCCATCCGCAAGGTAATTGAGGATGGTGCGGAAGCAGAGGGAAGCAAGAAACCAGAAAAGATTCGCAAGGCGACCCAGGAAGACGAATTCGTCGCTGGTCGGATTGTGACGATTGAGGTGCCTCCGGTGGAGCAGGATGGCGCTGTGGTGGAGCCTGCCCGCTCGCTTCGTGTTCTGTGGGGCATCCGCGGAGATCTGTGGATAGAGTTGACCGCTGAGAACTTGAGCTACATCAGGCATGCAATTTTGAACTCTGCCCCTTTTGAGCAACCTGTTACCAAGAGATCCAAGTTTGTAGCGAAAGATGGCCAATCCCCTCGCCGTAAAAGGAAGAGAGGGAGGAAACCCAATGCAATGCATCAGGGGAACTCAGATGATGATGAGACTCCAGCCCTTGAGGCTCCCAAGTAGGTAGATTTCTGTGGCTTCGGACGAATGTGGTGTGTGGGCGCTTCACGCAAAACATGCCCTCTTGATTGCTCAGTGTGGTACTTGCATCTATTCTATTTCAGGCATGTGCTGTTCTATTTCTATTCTTATCATTTGCAGGGCGTAGGCAGCATGTCAGTCTGGCAGGTTTCATGCAGGGAGGATTCCCGTAACTAAACCTTGTATGTAATTCCTTTGCAGATTTTCGAGTTTGGCAGAATGCACAGGCGGCATGCGAGTCTGACACGAAGCTTGATGCACTTAGGCAGTTGGACATGTGCACACACTTGGCATGAGCAACAGGCATGTTTGTGTGTTGGGGCGGCATTGCTCAAGATCTTTGCCACTTTCGAGGCATCACTTCCAGGTCCGCCTTGCATCCTGCAAGCAACATGAGCCGCCCCGCGCCGGTCAAGAACGAGTTTGAGGAGGACGGAGGCGAGGAGTGTGGCGGCGAAGCTTGTGGGGTGGAAGATGCTTTCTGGCAGGAGCCAGAGAGTGAAGACACTGTGTGGACGGACATGCAGTGGCAGGCGTGGGAGTGGGACAATGGAGTGACGTGGAGCAAGACGGAGGTCGACAACAACGAGGAAGCCAACGAGGTGGAGGCTTGGTGGAGCAAAACCGAAGCCCAGACGGAGAAGAAGTTTGAGACGTATGGCGGTGGAGGCAATGGCGGTGGTTGGGGAAAAAAGTATGTTGGCTGGCAGCGAGAGCAGCGAAGCTCCTCGGCATCCTCGTCCAGCAACCGCGGCTACTATGTGAAGGGTGGCTATGTGGATGCTGCAGGGCGATTCCACAAGCTGCCAGGCTTCAGGTTTTACTTGCTTTGGTTGAGTTTGCAAACCCTTGAAACCATGTATGCCCTCAACCCTGCACCTGCGCCCTATATTAATCATTGTAGATTTTAAGCCCAGTATAATATGGCTCTTGAAACCTATAACTCTCTATGTGTCTTATTCATACGAACTCTCCTTGAGCTCTATCTGAAATATCCCCCTATATAAGGCGTGTGGTCTAGAGGGTTAGTGTTGGTTTACATGTGCATATATGGGGTCTAGATTTAGCAGGGTTTGGGGTCTACGACGGCCAATATTGGTGAGCTAAACCCAACAGACGGAAAGCCCTCTCTCCTGCAACCTTTAAAGCCCGCCCCTTTCTGCATCTCAGGTATGGCGGAGGACGGGACAGGGACCGAAGCAGAGGCGGCCACAAGGCCAGGTCCATCCGCCAGAACAAGGAAAAGGAAGCCGAGAGGAGGATGCACGACCAGCACATCACCCAGGCATTGAGCGCCGTCACAAAATTGGCCGATGTTGTATCCCGGAACATGTAGATGCAGCTGTTGCGTATACAGAGTGTGGATATAGTCCCCCAAAAATGCTTTAGGGTGCGATGTGTGTGACATATATGGTCCAGAGGGAAATTGCTATGTCATAATTTTGTGATGGCGCTCGGGCCTGGGTGCTTGCGCGGGCCTGTATATAAGTGTGCCTGGCTTGAGGTTGACTTTAAATTGTGGCCGGTAGGAAGAGTCATGAAGGTGAGGTTGCCGGTTCCATGGGGCCATGCGGGGTTCCACAGGCTCTCTTAAGTACAACTATACACAGCTTCTGAGCAAATCTCTGATGCGTGGGCCCACATGGATGGTCAGTTTTGCAGCCTCAGTGCCTTGGTGAAAACAGAGTCCCCCAGCCCTTGAAGGCTTGGGGGCCACTGCTGCTCAAGGAGTCAATGTGGGGTATACGTATGTATGGTGTGTATATATGGAGTCTCTGTTTTAAGGACATTTTTGTACTGCTCCTCTATAGATGAATCTCTTCATGTTTTGTCTTCTCTAGAATCCCCAGATTGACTCGTCGCTTCGAGAGAGGGTTCAGCCAGGCCTCGATCCACGTTCCCCAATGCACATGGCCAGGTGCTCAACATGCCCCAAGTATATAGAGGCTTCAGGAAGGCTGCATACGGGACATGGATCGCAACAAGGGTATTAGTGGAGGATGATGTTTCACCCGAAGGCGTTTGTACAGAGCGCGGCGCAAGGATGGTTTCCTTATATCACAGTTGTTATATAAAGTGCACAGGGGGCTGTTTAATGCTTTATGTAGGTCATATAGATGATGTGGGAGTGGTGCATCCTTGCGCTGTGCGCACTTTTGTAGCGCCGGCCAGACAAACTTCTAGAACTTTCAGAAAGCAACAGGAGATGAAATGAAGGATGACGTGCAGGTGTTCTCCAGCATGCTTGGAGGGTCAGGGAGACTTGGCAAGTATATGTTAATATAACCCCTATAACTTATAACCCATATAGTAACCCTGGTAATCCTAGTTATTACCCTACTTACTAAGTCCTCCTGACCCTCCATGGTTAGTATGCCCATAAATATGAATATAATATATATATATAACAACTATTTATATAGATATCTGGGTTGAGAACTGCCCCCACTCATTAACAGTCGGACAAGAATCACTTCAAATATGCGCATACAACCCTGAATAAGAGCCTGAATATAAGCTTAATGTGTGGGGGCAGTATACACATGACACAGGGTCCCATGTAGTGCTGCGTCTTTCCCGAGGTAGTAATTTTCCTGTGTATACTTACCCGGAGAGTCCCATAGTGTGCTTGCTGCCATGTTCAGGATGCTCGGCCTCCATTGCATGCCCCAGGATTCCCAATAAGGCACCCTATACATAGACCCCAAATGGACAGGCGTTCATAGTAGTGTAGCAGCAAATACGAATGAACCGTCCCTTTCCATTTGATTTTTTTTATTTCCTTTTGCATTCCATTGTTGATTCCTGCGTGCGTAGATAGGGGTTCTGCTGTATGCTGGTATAGTCCCAGCTGGAATACTGGAGTAGCGCTACTTGCGCTAGAGCCTGACTCACGAAGGCAAAAAAGCCCCCCAAAAAAATTCGCGAGCGCTACCGCCGGGGGGCTACCCCATGAGAAGGAAGAGGAAAGCAACTTTATTGAATAATAAACTTGTCATGCGCAACTTTATTGAAAAATAAACTTGCACTGCGCAAGTTTATTTTTCAATAAAGTTGTGGCCAGGGTCCCCCTGCAACTTTATTGAAAAATAAAGTTGTGACGTGCAACTTTGCT